ATGAAATTGTTAAACAAGAAGAAGAAGAAAAACCAATTGAAGATACTCCTAAAGAAGAAAATGAAATTGTTAAGCAAGAAGAAGAAGAAGAAAAATCAACTGAAGATACTCCTAAGGAAGAAAATGAAATTGTTAAACAAGAAGAAGAAGAAAAACCTACTGAAGATACTCCTAAAGAAGAAAATGAAATTGTAAAACAAGAAGAAGAAGAAAAACCTACTGAAGATACTCCTAAGGAAGAAAATGAAATTGTAAAGCAAGAAGAAGAAAAACCAACTGAAGATACTCCTAAAGAAGAAAATGAAATTCCAAAACAAGAAGAAGAAGAAAAACCTACTGAAGATACTCCTAAAGAAGAAAATGAAATTCCAAAACAAGAAGAAGAAGAAAAACCTACTGAAGATACTCCTAAGGAAGAAAATGAAATTGTTAAGCAAGAAGAAGAAAAACCTACTGAAGATACTCCTAAGGAAGAAAATGAAATTGTTAAACAAGAAGAAGAAAAACCTTCTGAAGATACTCCTAAGGAAGAAAATGAAATTGCAAAACAAGAAGAAGAAGAAAAACCAATTGAAGATACTCCTAAAGAAGAAAATGAAATCGTAAAACAAGAAGAAGAAAAGCCTACTGAAGGCACACCAATGGGAGAAAATGATAATATAAATACCGAAGAAAAAATTACTGAAGACACACCAATAGTAGAGAATAAAATTATGAATACAGAAGAAAAAATTACTGAAGACACACCAATAGGAGAGAGTGAAATTATTAATACAGAAGAAAAAAATACTGAAGACACACCAATGGGAGAGAGTGAAATTATTAATACAGAAGAAAAAAATACTGAAGACACACCAATGGGAGAGAGTGAAATTATGACAAACGAATTACAAGTTACTGAATAAATTACAATATTCTCTTTTCTATTTATACTTTAAAATTTTAAGAAAAATAATTTATTTTTCATTTTTAGAAAATTTTTTTTTCTAAGGGATAAAGAATCTTTTTAAATGAAAAAAAAAAAAAAAATTAATATATATAAATATCTATAGCAATTACAAAACAGAACAAAAAAACTGAAAAAAAAAAAAGAATCATTTTTTATTAACATCATCATCATTAATAAATACATAGAGTCTTTTTTAAATTTTATTTAATATTATTTATATTTTTTTTACTTCAATTCAAATAATTTTTCTTTTTTTATTTTTTTTTTTTTTTCATTTTTCATTTTTCTATACTAACTTAAAATTATATAGTTTATTAATTCAGCCATTATATTTTAAAAGTAGACTTTTTTTTTTTTTTTAATATAAATTTTAAATAATTATTATCTTTATTTTTATTTTTTTTTATAAATAAATAAAAAATTAAAAATAAAATATAATAAAATTCAAAACATATAATATTCTTAAAAAAATTATAAATTTAAAAATATTTATAATATTTAATAATATTTAATTTATATATATATCATATATATATATATATATAAATTTTTTTTTATTTATAATTGTTTATTCTTTTGGTTTATTTAATATTTTTTTTTATTTATTTATTTTATTTAGTGTATATTTATTTATTTAGTTCCTAATTTTTCAACAGTAATATTAATTATTTTTAAAGGGGTTAGAGTACATAAAGATAAAGGGGATCATACATTTCGTAATGTGATTTATAATATTTTTCAAATAAAGCTATCATAAAAATATATATATAAATAATATATTTTTCAATTATATATTATTAAATAACTATTTCAAAAGAAATAATATATTATATATATTATATTAAAAAAAAATTATATAAAAAAAACTTTTTTACAATTAAATATTAATAAATTATATATATAAAAAAAAAAAAGAAATTTTTATTATTTATTTAATTATTATTTAATTATTATTTTAAAAAAAGCCACATATGAAAATATCCCACATTACAAAGCGCACTAGATTCGGGTATGGTGCATTTCGTCAAATTGCATTTCGCCAAATTTTTTGAAAGCATATGGCGTATTAAAAAAATGTGGCATTTCGCCAAATTGAAAATTATTAAATAAATAAATAAGTCAATAAATAAAATTAAATATTATTAATATCGAATAAAAACAATTTTAAAAAAATTATTTTGAATAAATATTTATTTATTTATTCATTTATTTATATCAATACTCTACTTGTCGAAATGCAACCTGTCGAAATGCAACTTAGGGAAATGCAACCTTTTAATACTACGCCACTTGTCGAAATGCAACTAACCTATTGGAAATCTAATATTATGGATTTTTCTTTTTTTTTTTTTTTTTATATTCTAACCTATTGGAAATCTAATATTATGGATTTTTCTTTTTTTTTTTTTTTTTTTTTTAATTAATTAATAACAATATAATAATAGAATATAAATGAATATTTTATATTTTTTAATTCATTTCTATTAAAATTAAACATTTTCACATTCATATTATTCATAATTAAATTTTTTTAATTATGAATTATATGAATAAGAAAGTAGTTAAGAGAGTGCATACATATAGTATTAATTAATTAAGTATTTAAGAAAACAATAAAGAGATAAAAACGTCAAATTTAGAGTCATATTTACTTTAATAAATTGATAGATTCTAAATCGTTACTAGATCATTACGTTGATATAAATATTTTATAAAGTAAAGTCAATAACTAAATAGGGAATATTTATATTTATTTAATATTTAACAACTTTAGAAATATAATTTATGAAATAATAGTTTTATAAAATAATAATATAATTTTTATTTAATTTTATAATGTCAATAATGTATTTATGTAAATTATTACATATTATAGTGGAATAATATTACAAAGAATGTAAGAGATTATAGATTTTGTACTTCTCTTTTATACTATGTATAATACATATTAATACTAAAAAATATAATATTTAAGATTAAAATATAATATTTAAGATAATAGTAGAAAACATTGTATATTGCATATACCAATATGAATTTAATAATAAAATAATGTAAAAATAAAATGATTTACAATCTTAAAACTAATTAAAAGACTTTTAGTAACTTTTATAATTGTAAATAATTCCTTCGAATTTTTTTGGAAATTATTTCGTTAAATAATTAATAGTAATTATTGTAATAATTTATCTAAAACTATTAAGTCATTTAAAATATTTTGATTTATTATTAATTATTAATTCTGTTTATAATGATTAGTAATATAAAGATAAAGTCAAAGATTCTAAATAAAATACAAATTTATTATTTATGGGCCATCTAAATAATTGAATTATTTTTTATATATTTAAAATTCTCTAAGATCCAATATATCGTGTTTTAGTGGTCCAAATGAGTTGAAATTAATATATGTTGTAGGTCTCGAGCATAGTTCTCTAATGAATATAATATTGGGTTTAATTTTAGCTGGAAATTTTCATTATTAATAGAGTTATCGTCATTTTTCTTCGATTTATTTTATTAAAAAATATTTACAAGTATTTATATTTTTACACGAATTTAAGGTATTTATAATTTTAGTAAGAAAAGAAATAAAAGAATAAATATTTTTTATATTAAAAGAAATAAAAGAATAAATATATTATGTTAAAAGAAATAAAAGAATAATTATATTTTATTATAGAAATAAAAGAATAATAAAGAAATAAAAGAATAACAATAAAGAAAATAAAGAAATTATATCGTTGATAAAAATAAGATTATTAAAAGTTATCTTTTAAAGTTATTATATTTTTTTCTATTAATTTTTAATTTTAATTTTATTAAAGAAGAATTATTTAAGGTTCAGATAATTTAATCTTATTTAAGGTTAAAATTTAATTTTTAAATAAATTTTATTATAATATTTGATTTTATAATTTCTTCATCAGTAATGATACGTGATATTTATAAAATACCAGTATCTAAATATTTTATTTTTATTTAGGAATGACAGTATGACAGTAGGGAATGATAACAAAATAATATATTCTAATAAATATATAATAATGACACGAAAATAATATAATTTTATACTAAAATATTTTATTTTATTATTTGTTTTATTATTCCTTCTTTATTTATTTTATTATATAATTATTATACATTATGTTTTATCAAATATAATTATAAACTCTTAATATTATTATTTAATACTATTACAATTATAAACTATTCATCACTAGTTTTTAAATATACATTTCATCAGTATATTTATATATTTAATTATTATTAATTATATCTCTATTCTAATAAACTAGTTTTTGGATTCTACATTTCTCTCAGTATTTTATTATAAATCAAAGAATCCCCTCATTAAATAAATAATTTATTAAAAATATATATAATTATAAATTATTAATTGACCAATAATATTTTTATATAAAATTTAACTATAATATTTCATTAAAGTATAATATTTCTATACGACACGTATCTGGTACGATATTTTTATATATTGTACCTTTTATATGATTTGGGGAAAGCAAGTTGTAAAATTATAAAATAATATATTCTAATAAAAGAAATAAATAAAAAAAATTATAACACAAAAATTAATAATAAATTTTTAATAAATAATAATGTGTTACTTTTAAGTCTTTATTTTATTTATAAGTTTTGTTCTTTAAATAAGTACATATAATTTTATTATGACTTTATTATATCCTTAAATTTTATATATTTTATTAATAATATTAACCAAATATCTTAAATATTTATTCACCCGAATAATATTTTATAATCTTTATTTTCTAAATATTACTTAAATTCCTATTTTAACTATTATATTCTTTAAAGATATTAGCTTATTTAGTTCCCCTTTTTTAATATTTTATCTTTTACTTATTTTTATACTATTAATTAAAATTATTTTTATTAATATTATATTTTTATATACTAATTAAACCTTATATCTATTATAATAAAATAAATAAAGAATTATTTATTTTCTTATATTTTTAATAATTTATTCTATTTTAGTGAGTAACGTACCATATCAGTAAGTTCAAATATCCAAATAGTGTAGTGGTTATTACGTTTGCTATACATGCAAAAGGTCTCTGGTTTGAACCCCGGGTTTGGGTATATGTTATTTTTTTTTCTCATAAAAAAACGTATATTTTATTTAGTATTTATAATAATAATTATGATGAAATTAAATATAAATTTAAATATAAATGTTTAATTTCAGAGAGAATAATTAAAAAAAAAAATAGATAAATAATTAATAATATAGTTTTTTTTTTTTTTTTTTTTTTTTTTTTTATAAAACTTTTATTTAAAATTATAATTAATAATGATCTTTACAATAATATTTTATCAACATTCGTTTATTTTTTTTATTGAATATTACAGCTATTTATACTTTTTAAACTAATAGAAATGGTAAAGTCATTTCTTTACATTACAAAATTATTTTTATTAATAATTTTATATTATTGTATTGTTAATTATTTATTAATAATATTAAATAAGAAATATATTAATTAAAGAAATTTTATCATGTTTTGTTGATTTCAATTTGTGATTTAATAATATTTTATTGAGAGTAATATTTTACTAATTTAGAAAAAAAAAAAAAAAAAAAAAAAAAAAAAAAAAAAAAAAAAAAAAAAATTATTAAATTGTTAACATAAAATTTATAATAATTTCATTAGATTTATAATATATTGTTTATAATAAAACATATAATAATAATATAAATTTTTATTTTTAAATTAAATTTTTATTAGTAATAATTTTCAAAATGGGTTTATTTTGGAGGGATTATTAATAATTTTAATGACAAGGAAATTGAGGTTTATAATAATATATTCAGTATTGATAATTTATATTGGTAATCATAAATTTATAATTTAGGAATTTCCGAAGATTTACATAATATTGATAAATAAGTTTTGATATTAATAAAATATTGATAAAGTACTTAATAAATTGATATATAGATAAAATAGGCTATATGTGATATGGATTTAATAATTGATACAATAATTTATATAATAATTCTTGTAAAAACTAATAAGAATGAATTTAATAAATATTGGAAAGTTCCAAATAGTAAAGATGACAAAATAATTTTATGTATGGTTAAATTATATAATATAAAATTAACCAGAATAAGATTATTTAGTCATTCTTTATCAAGATGCCTCCATTAAAACTCAAGCTATACAGAAGCTGAGTTAAACTTTACTATATTCTTTAAATGGGTATTGCGGTTCATTTGGGTTCTAGATTTAGGGTCTGCAAGAGTTACTGTATATTGAACTGTTTTTTTATTACGTGAAATGGTCCAACAAAGTATGGTTCAAGGTTGGTCCTTGAAAAATTTCAAATAAAGACCAGGTCTCCTTCTAAATCAGTTATTCCGTAATTTTTCTCATTTTTACTTAGTGTTCATTTCGTATAATTAACTGAATGTTCTTTGTTAGTTTCACCCCATACTCCATCATATGATATATCAGTTCTTATAATAAATTCTTTATTGAAAGAAGGGGATTTTAGAATTGGAACATTCATTAATCTTTCTTTAAACAGAGTAAAGCCTAATTCTTGTTCATCTTTCCATTGGTACTTAACATCTTTTCGTAACAACTTACAAAAAGGAGCTGTGACCTGAGCATATTTATCAATTAAGGATCTATAGTATCCAATAATTCCTTAGAAGGATTCTTAATTCATGAAGATAAGTAGGAGCTGTCCATTATTTAATAACTTCTATTTTTAATATCATGTGAACTAAAGCCTATGGCAGATACCTTGTGACCTAGAACCTCTACTTTTGACTGCAAGAAAGACCATATTTCAATATTAATCTTAAGTTTATATTCCTTGAATACATATAAAGCATTCTTAATGTGGTTGAGATGTTCTTCAGCTGTTTTTGAATAGATTAAAATATCATCAATAAAGTTAAAAATAAATTTACCAATGTATGGAAATAAATTCTTATTCATTTCTCTTCGGAAGGTAACAGGAGCTCCAGTTAATCCGAAATGTATTACCTTGAATTGTAAATGCCAAATTTAGTAGTAAAACTGGTTATTTCAATGCTTTCTTCATCCATGAATTATTTGATGGTAACCATAGTACAGATCTATTATAGCAAAAATTTTGGTTCCATTTAAACTATCGAAAATTTCATCGATATTTGTCAGAGAATAAAAATCCTTAATCGTAACATCATTTGCTTTTTGTTAGTCAATACATATTCTCCATTTTCTATTATGTTTGGGAATAAATACTACTGGTGAGGTCCATTCTGAATACGAGGGTTCAATTAGTTTCCTGTTAATCAATTTGGTAAGATCTTCTTTTAGAATATCAGATTTATATTTGGATATTCTTTAATATTTCTTCTCCCTCTAAGTGATTTAAAATTTTATATTTTTGTAATATTCTTGGTACTTTTCATCAACAGTTGCCTTGAGTTTTAAGACAATTATTCTGGAAATGTCCTTTTTCCTTAAGGTAGAAACAAGTACTAATAGTTAGGTTCTTCATTCGTTTGAATAGATCATCAACATCAGGATTTTTATTGGATTTTTTGGTTTTGAAAAAGATTTTTTTTTTAAAAAAAATTCTTTTTATTAAAATTGGAAGATTTACTTTAATTAGAATAAGTATTTTCATCTGAATCATAGGCAACTTGGGGAATAAGTCTATTGACTTTCTCAGTTATAGTAAAAGCTTTATTGAGAGAGATACTACCCTAAAGAGAAATCCTTTTCCATGCCTCTTTAGTATTTTGTAATGAATCGGTATTGTATTGTCTAATAGATTGATTCATTTTCTTCTATTACTATCCAACTTATGATAAAGATTTCTGTAGCGTATATTAAAATCTTTTTTTTACTTTTTCATTCTTTTTGATTATAAGTGCACGAAAATTTCTAAGTAGTTGTAATGAATCCGTCAATTAAAACAGATTATAACAATAAAAAGCACTTTACAATTTAAACAAATAAGTAAATTCTTTTATTATTAAATTCTTTTTATTAATTATAAATTTCATTTATGTTATTAACTGTAAAATAGTTAATAACTAATACAGCGATTTAATTGAGAAAAATTACATGTATTTATATTTTTTCTTATTATATTATTAATATATGATGTTATTTATTAATATATATAAAGCTATTTATTTATAAACAAAAGATTTTTTAATTAATAATTTTTACTATTTATTAATTTACTAAAACTAAAATTAATTTTTTAAACTCTTTATTCTATTTATTATTTTAATACTTATAACAATTTTAATTATATATTTAATATTGAAAAACTATTTTTATAAATATTAACTATTTAAGATTATTCCTAAATTAATATTTAACTATTTAAAACTAAACTAAGCTAACTAAACTAATTAAAAAATATTTTCAATTAAATAATTAAATTTAATTTCAATAAATTTTATATTAAAAAATTTCATATACATTAAATAAATTAAAATTTCATATACATTAAATAAATTAATTGTACGAAAAATTAAACTATTTAATGTATTAAAGATTTATTAAATCTTTACAGTAGTATATTTTGATCGTGTTAAGGCCATAAAATTTTTCTAATTCGTCCTTGATTTTATCTATGCTTGGGAAATTAAGATTATTATTGCTATTATTGCTATTGTTGTTATCTTCGTCATCACAACTAAAGAAGTAATCATTCTCCATGTCTTGAAAAAATTAGCTAGAGTTACATTGGTCAGATCGAGATATTTTTATTAATTATAACAATTAAATAAAATTAAAATAAATTAATATACTCAAAGTTTTATAAATTAATTAAGAAATTCAATATTTAAAAATTTATGTTTTATTAGAATCTTTAATTCAATAATTAATAATAAGTTAAGATTAACAGTAAGAATTATTATTACTATAATTAATTAAATGATGTTATTTAAGTTTAATGGGTTAATAATATTAAAAAGATTTTAATGAATGGAATTTCAATTCCTTTTTATACTAATCTAAAAATAATAATTAACAATATAATTAAATAATACATTCAATCTTAATATATATATACATGTATATTAACTATATATTTCAATTCAACAACCTCATTGACTACATTTCGCTCATTCTCGTTTGATCTCGACCCTCTACTACACATCTTCACTACGTTACGTGCTCGATCTCTCACTCGTCTTCATTCGCTTCATTTCGTTTAACCATTCAGTTGTTTTCATTCATAATATTCACTATTTTTAGGGTTTATTTTGTATATAGTTTTTGATATATTTTAGAATTAAAACCATATTGTTGTTTTATATTTTTAATCTGGAGCTTTAATTAAAAAAACAATATAGCATAGTATTATAATAAAATAATATTGATAAGAATTTTTTAATAAAATAACTATATAATTATTAATAAAACAATTTAAGAATAAAATAATTTAATAATAAAACAATTTAAAAATAAAATGATTTAAGATATTAAAACTAATTAAAAGTCTTTTTTGAAATCTTTAGAATTTAAAGAATTCCTTAGTATAGTTTAGAAATTATTTTGCTAACTATTATTAATAAATATTATACTAATTTATCTAAAACTATTAAAATTATTTAAAGTAATATAAATTATTATCAATTACTAATTTTGTATAATTTAATTTTTTATTTTTGTTTATAAAAATTAGTAATATAAAATTCCACATTAAAGATTTTATCTATATAACATACTAATTTTTTTATTTAGGATTCATTTAAATAATAAATTATTTTTTTAAAATTCTTTAAAGTCTAATATCTCGTGTTCTAGTGGTCCAAATGTGTTGAAATTAATAATTGTAGATTTTGAGTGTAGCTTTTTAATGATTATAATATTAGTTATAATTTTAGAGGGAAATTTCTATTATATGAAGAGCTATCGTCATTTTTCTTCGATTTATTTTTATTAATTTCATAAGGGTTAAATTAAATTGAATTATCTAATTAAAATAGTCCAAACCCTTTTATTTCTAATTATTTATCATTTTTAATATTTATATATATAATAAAAATCGAAAAAATGTCAATAATAAAATTAAATTTCAATTGATCTATTAGTGAATTTCAATTTTAAATCCAC